ATGACATCTATGTAAAAGGCATTGGACTACAATCAAGAGCCCTCACAGAGAATGTTAGTAAATTGTACTATCCTCTTGTAATAGTAAAACTAGTTTATAACCAACACAATTAAACACAATTCGACACAATTAAACCAGTATAAAGTAGCTTATGTTAATGAACTCATAATTGTAACAAAACAATTTAGGTTACATTTTATGACATATTTCCATTTTGTAACTGAAACAAACGCAACACGTAATGCTTTAGTGTATTTGGTAAACATAGTTGATAGGAAACTATTTTTTTGTGACAAAGCAATCAGATTCAAACGAATCTGACGTCCTAAATAAATATTTAAAGTTCAAACTTGATGGTTACCTTGTGGTTAACCAATAAAATGGTAGCTCCAAGTTAGTGATAACCACGAATACTTGAACAGAACCGGTATGGATCATGAACATAAACAAATCACGTTGCTGACCCGAATCCTATACTAATTGTGTTAACATATGATTTCGAACATTCATTTAAGCAATGTTAAATAATATTTTATTTTCGGGCCAGCAATGTGATTTGTGTTTGTTTATAATCCATACCGGTTCTGTTCAAGATTCGTGGCGATAACTTAAGTTTTTGCAACGATGCATGATGCATGATAATACGAGAAGTAGTGTTAAGGTATATTAAACGTATAGCCAGCGCCGCGCCGCGCCGTATGGTAAGGAGCGAGTAAGGTTTGGTCACACGTTGACCTGACCTGAAAAACTGTGCCAAACAATACACCTAAATTAGTTTGTGTTTAACTTAGTAGAGGTGGTTTTAGTGAGAAGTCTGTTTTGGAGTTCACATACATGCTCTCCACCTGTGTGCGTTAAAGCTTTTCTTTCTATCCGTAACAAAAGAGGAAACTCCTGATGCTCATGCATTTTGCGGTTTCCGATGTATTCCAAAAATATACTAATTTAGTATATAAATTTGGTGCGATTCGTAGTTATCCTGAAGTGAATAAATGGGTAATGTTAAATAAATGGGTAGAAGTATAGGGTAATGTAATAACTTATACACAATCTTATCAGTTTAAGACAGGTAATGATGAATTTGGTAATTATATCTATATTTGTAGTTGGATATTACACCTTGAAATAGATTTCGCACCAATACCAAATGCTTTACCTGATAATTACAAACTCTAACGACCAATTACTAAATTGGGTGTTCCCGTTCCTCCGATAACCAATTTGTTTGCTTGTTTTATGTATTGAGCTAATAAAATATTTGTATTAATTTTCAATGAGTTTTTATCATTAATGAATGAAATTAAAACTACTCACTTATACTTTTGGTTAAACGTTACATTAAGTGATGGATTGTCAGTTAGTTAATTAGAAAAATATATTAAAATAAACTTCATATTAAAGTATGTAGTAATATTTGTCTTTGGAATAAAGGAATTGATTTTTAACAGATACAAAAAGTATAGTAATGTTTTAAATTTTAAAACTTGAAAGATGATATAGGATACAAGTTTTATAGTCCATAGCAACGCAACGTGCTACTTGATTGCAAGTAGTATGATTGCAAATTGATTTATATGGCGAATAATTAAGGTTCATGCAAATGGAATCTCAACAAGCTTGTAAGAAATTACAACAAAACAAAAACCCAAGATTCATAAAAAATAAACTCAAAATACACGAGTTGCATTGAGTCAACTCATCCCGAATAAGAATAAGAATAAGAAAGTTTATTGCCATTGACCAAGTTGTACATAGGAATAGGCATTGTCAAATTACATTAAATAAAATAAAATATTACTAAACATGTTCATACAATGAACAATGAATGAACAATCATAGAAAGTAGATGAGAGTTACTTTTTCATTTCCAAACCAAGACAGTAAATTTGATGAATCAGTAAGTACAAAAGTAAACTTTTGTATACTGTTACTCTACAAAGAGACCAAAGACCGGTATACATTGGTGAATTGTTCTTTTGTCTCTTTTTCTGTGTTTTCATGATACTATTGATATTGCCTGGCCTCGGCTATGTAAACGCTTTAAAACTTTCTCATTTTGCTAATCTCAAGACACAAACAGAGGGAAACATTCAACGAAAATTGCTAATTTAAACGTATTAATATTTGTTTATCAAGATAGGCTATATCCTAACTATAAGACTAATAATAAAAGGTGGTTTATGAATAGATGCCACCTTACCCAGATTACAGTAATGCCCATTTGTCACTATAATTTCATCTAAGGCAAGTCATTCCTAGCCAAATAAATTAAACTATTTCGACACACGTTTTCTAACAAATTCAACCAAATAGCCTAATACGATTGATTAAACACCGGTCAAAGACAATATAGGCCTACTTTACTGCTGTAATTTGACACGTTGATGGTATTGAATTATCCATTATCTATACATGAAACTTACCAAATACTGTTGCATGATGGTCATGGGAATGTTGACATTGAGCCATGTGTTACCGTGTCACTGTCAATTAGTGTCCGTTGTATTGGAGATTCAACAATATTGTACGGTAACACTTTGAGGTAAAATAATATAGATAATGTAAACTATTGGTTTCAGATAATGCCTCTGTATCAACGCTAACAACATAATATCTACGAATAGTGATTTATGCGACACCAAATTGCTAATGATGAAATTCTCATCGTGAAATTATTATAAAAAAAGTGTAACTCTGAAAAAAAACGTAAAACTACAATAATTGCGGAAAGAAAAAACAAACACAATGTTTTAAAAAGCTGTTCATTAAAAACGTAATTCCTAGTAAAGAAATAAAAATATATGGATACATTGGTTGGTGAATCGCAGGAAAAGACATTTCTATTTCCTATTTATAAGAAATCAAGAGACGTCCCGTCCAAATCCGGAAACGAACGAACCATCCAATAATCACATTCTGTATCCCCTGTCACCCTCAAATCCAGCATCTTGGGAGCAATTCCAGTAAACAGCTGACATCTTATTTCATACATTTCGTTAAAATATCAACTGTATTTAGGCTATAATACTACTGGGTAATATACAGTTCAGTAATATTTAGCTATGGTACAATTAATTAAGTTCAAAATAGTTGTCAAGAAATTAAAGAGTCTAAAATCAATTAAACCTTTTATATGAGAAGGTGTTCTCTAGACCAAGTCATTTACATTACGGAAAGACCTTTGAACTCGCATATTCGGATGGAGATAAAAACGTTTGTAACAAAAAGTCTTTGCACAATGACAGTATTACATTTGATGTAGATTTAAATACTAATAAAGAGATTATTGTGGAGATATCTATGATATTTATATTTATAACTTATTTTAAATCTGAAGTGTATAACAATTCCGTTTCTTTAACAAATAAATAGAATAAGACTTTTGTGTGTGTCCATTATAAAGGTACCATAATTGTTTTACCATGATTACAAGGTAACACATAAACAAGATACCTTTTCAATGTGTTACTGACACCTCAACTTCAACCTATCAAGACGGCCTGAAATTAGGGCGTGATACTCATTGTTTGATTTTCATATGATATTGTTAGGATAATCAGTTCAATAATCGTGTAACTTAAATCTTTGCCATTTGCAGCAAACATCCAGGTTGAGTTCGCATTGCTAGTTATACTCGCACAATGGCTAATGGATAGATCAATCAGAGAAATTACATTTTCCTTTAGACGGATGTAATGTAAGTGATCAGTATCTCAATTTAATTTCGTATCGACAAAATAAAACTTCTGTTCTGTAATAATACTACTTCCGTTTTAACAATAATACAAGTCGTTTGGTATTTACACTATTTTACCAGATAAATTTCTAAACCAAGGAATAAAAACACTCGGGTTTCATTTGTGACACTGTTAAAATATCTTATCTAAAGTATACTAATTGGTGAACAGAATAATAATTTAAGATGTTTATATATCAAACTATTATTGCAATGATAAAAATACCATTTGCTCACAAAGTTGTATATCATTTTTCAATGCTATTTACTAGGCAGTGTTCTTATATAAGCTGCAATGCTTAAAAAGGAGGTTTTTAGACGTATACTGTAAAACAAAATCAAGGAATAATTATTGTTACTAAATCAAAAAGGATTTGGTCCTTTATCCGTCTGACTAAAGATAAAAACGGATAAATGCAATGCTGAATTGCTAACGATTTGTCAAAGTAAGATTTTGACGGCTCGAATCTGATTGAATTACAAGTAAATCTTCTCTCAAAAACGTAAAGAAAAGTTTGTGGCCATAACATTACAATTCTACCTAACAATATTTAAATTAAATTTTAATGCATTCAATGAGTTATCGACTCCGGAATGCTAATTATGATTGTTCATTAGCTGGAAGTTTGTTGTCATAGTTTGCTTCGTCATAGTTTGTTTCATATAGAGAGGAATTCAAATGTTAAGGGAAAATTTGAAAGCTCACCAAACCTTTTTCGACATGCCGGGAGTTGAACCCATCATTCTTTTAACCAGAGACCGAGACGCTATAATTCATAAGACTAACGTCGGGCATAACATGAGAGTGATTCAACCGTAAAACTATTTAGATCAGTAACAAATCTACCATACCAACGTTTACAACTAACAATCCCGTTATTCATTGTTCAAATATAACGGTTTCAAATTGTTGTACATTAACTGAACTAATAAAATACTTATACGTTGGCCTACGGAAATTATACGGTATGATTATACGATGTGCACGTACCTGAAGTATAACGTAGACTGCGTTGTCGTCCTCATCGTCTTGTCTCCAGGGTTTGGACTTTGTACTGTGGACCTTTGATTTCTATGCTATTGTTCTTAATCATTGTAGTTGTCTACTTTACAACATCTCCCTCCGACTTATAAAAGAAAACTTATTCTTCTCAAAAAAAATTAAAACTTGTTAGGTTACTTCACCTTATAAAAACATTTCCCTTCCAATATAAAACAAAAACACAAAACACATCTTCCTGGAAGGGAACTCTTTTTTTTCTTCTTATAGATTCATTTTATCAGGCGCTCTTCGAGTCCTTTGGGACCGCCTGATAGCTTCTGTGTCTTCACCTTGTTTAAGTTGTCCATCATTGAAATTTTGATTTAGTGATTTTCTTGGACTACCTAACATTGCTTGAGGTTTAGGTGGCGATATAGTTGTTGAAGGTCTAAGTGGTGATTTGATTGATTGTCGATGTTTAGGCGAATGTTTTTGAGGAGATCTAGGCTCTGTAGGTTCTGTTGTTTGTCTGATTTCTGGTTCTTTTATTTCAGGCAAAAGCCACTCTTCATGTTCCTCTTCTTTTGTTAGATTCTTCCTTAGGTGATCAGCGTGAACAAATCTTGTGCGGTTTCCTTCCTTAATCAAATAGGTTACAGGGCTTATACATTTGATTACTTTTCCGGGTAACCAGTTCACTTTTTCCTTCCTCACCGAGCGAACAAAGACGTTTTCACCTACTTCAAACATTCGTGTTGAGCCTCTACGGTTATCAGCACTGTTCTTGATTACTTCTTGTTTCCGATTCATATCTGCTGACAAGTTAGGCTTCAGAAGACTCAACGGTGTTCTTGGTTTCATTTTTAAAAACATTTCTGAAGGTGTGCATCCAGTAATAGAATGAGGAGTATTTCTGTAGGTAAAGAGAAAATTGTCTATTTTGTGTTGGATGGATCGATTAGGTTGATTTTTCTGGTCGTGTAGAAGTTGTTTTAAAAAGGTTTCCTTGACGGTTTGTACCATCCTTTCAGCTAACCCATTCGAAGCAGGGTGGTATGGAGGGGTGAGAACATGGTGGATTCCATTTGTTGTCAAGAATTCCTTAAACTCACTTGAAGTGAACTGCGGGCCTCCATCAGTTACAATTGTTTGAGGTAACCCATAGGCTGCAAAACATGTTCTCAGACGTTCTATAGTCTTCAAGGATGTAGTTTTGGACGACATATAAAACAGTTCAACCCATTTAGTACGACTATCTACTAAAATAAGAAAATCCTTGCCTTCAAAGTTTGCAAAATCAAGATGTAGTCGTTGCCAATTTTGACTAGGCCATGTCCACGGTTGAAGAGGTACAACTGGTACTGATTTCCTGGTTGATTGACAAACATTGCATTCTGCAACATATCTTTGAATATCCTTATCCATACCCGGCCACCAAACGTAGCTACGAGCTAACGATTTCATCCGTGATTCACCGGGATGCTCTGAATGTAGTAGATTAAGAATTTCCTTTCTGTGAGTCGGGGGTATGACCACTCGAGTTCCCCACAATAAGCAATTTAATTCGACTGATAATTGATGTGTTTTGTCAGTAAACGGTTGCAACTCCTCACTAACATGATTAGGCCACCCATGTAAGGTGTAATCCATCGCTTTTGACAAGATTGGGTCAAATTTTGATGCTAGGCCTATCTCCTTATGTGTTATAGGCAAACTGTAAGATGTAGAAAAGAAATTGATTTCTTCAGGTTCCTTCTGGTCGTAATTGCATGGCAGTCGGGACAAGGCATCTGCATTCGATATCTCCGAGCCTTTCCGATAGATAAGTTCATATTGGTACGCTGCCAAGATAAGTGCCCAACGCTGTACTCTCGCAGCTGATAGAGTTGGTATGGATTTGTTAGGTCCTAATATAAAAATTAGAGCTTTGTGGTCAGTCACGAGCCTGAACTTACGACCATACAAGAAAACATGGAACCGTTTCACAGCAAAAACTATTGCTAGAGCTTCTCGCTCGATTTGAGCATATTTGCGTTCACTTTGGGACAACGTCCGAGACGCAAAGGCTATGGGCCTTTCAGAGCCATCTGGCAAAACATGAGCCATCACCGCACCTACACCATATTGTGAGCTATCACAAGTTACTAAAATATCCAACTTTGGATCAAATGGCATCAATACATTGTTTTGTAGAAGCAACTTTCGGCTTTTCTCAAACGCTTCCTCACATTTGTCATTCCACTTCCATTGAACTCCGTTATTTAACAACTGGTGAAGGGGGTACAGCAAAGTAGATAGGTTTGGCAAAAATTTGCCGTAATAATTCAATAATCCTAAGTACGAACGCAACTGCGTGACATCATTAGGCCTTGGAGCCTCTACAATCGCTCTACTCAATTCTGGACTCGGATGGATCCCTGTACCATCCAGAAGATGCCCTAGGAATACAATACTCTTTTGGAAGAACTTACTTTTGGTCTCGTTTATTTTTACACCATATTCACTCAGCCTAGTTAGAACCTTATGAACTAAAACTACCATTTCTTCTGGTGAGTGACTTATCAATAGAATATCATCAAGATAGCAATAGGCATTTTGAATCCCTGACATGATTTTGTCCATTACAGACTGGAATATAGAGCCTGCACTAGAAATTCCGTATGGCAGCCGCTTGTAGCGAAACAACCCTCTTAGAGTATTTATAGTCAAAAGGGCTTGTGAGGATTCTTTTATTTTAACCTGGTTGTAGGCAGAAGCCAAATCAAGCTTACAAAAATATTTAGCGTCACCGATTTGAGCAAATATTTCATCTGGGTTCGGTAAGGGGTAATGATCTGTTCTGATACACTGATTTAGCGTTATCTTAAAATTCCCACAAATTCTGACAGATTTGTCTGCTTTCGGAACAACTACAATGGGAGTAGCCCAATCCGTTTTTGTCACCGGATATATTACATCATTTCGTACCAAATTATCTAATTCCTTGTCTACTGCAGGACGTAACGAGAAAGGTACATTATGTGGTTTGCAAAACACAGGAGTAGTATTTTCTTTGAGCACCAACTCCACCTCTACATTTTTAATTTCTCCAAAAGCAGCGTCAAAAACACCTGCGTATTGCTTCTTTAATTCTTCTACGCTAGGCTTAACAAAATTCAGAACAGTCTTACCGTTCAATTCGTTGACCACAGAGTCATCTTTGCATTCCTTCATTACTTTACTCCAATCCAGCTTCATTGCTCCTAGCCAGTTTCTTCCCATTAAAATTGGTTGGTCGGTCGAAGTACTTTCAATCACTACCATCGGAAGGACCATTTTTTTCCCATTGGAAATATTTACATCTGCCTGAAACTCGCCAAGGACATTAATTTTTTCACCTGTGTATGTCTTCAAACATATTTTGCTTTTTGATAGCAGTGGGACAGAATCCTTAAATTTATCAAAATAAACAGAGTCCGGTAACACGCTAACAACAGCGCCTGTGTCGATCACCATCTGTAAAGGTACATTATTTACACACATTTCAGCAACAAATTTATTAGGCCTACTTTTATCATTTGAGTAGGCAATTGTATACAATTCTAGTTGATATTCATCTTCTTGATTGATGTTTGCCTGTTGAACATGTGAGCAACTCTCCTGGTCGCCCTCTTCATCGCAGAAATTCACCCTGGAGCTAGGCCTATTTTTACCATGGCCTACATTTAACCTATTTTTGTTCTGGAAACAAACAACAGCAAGATGTCCTTTACGTTTACATAAATTACATGTATAACCTCTATACGGACAATTCCTTAGATCATGTTCTTTTCCGCACCTGTAGCATACCCTTGAACTAACATTTTTGTCAGAAAAACCTTTCTTAAAACTAGGTTTAGAATTCTGTACAAATTTCTTAGGTTTAAAATTACTCTTCACAAAACTAATCTCACCAGACTGCTTCGTACCATCAATGTGAAAGAACCTAGTATTCTGCTCCGCATTCTCGACCAACAAGGCCGCTTCAATCGCCTTATCAAAAGTAAGCGATTCACCCTCTGCTAAAAGTTTGCTCTGAATGTGTGTAGACCTCAGCCCACATAAAAACCTATCTCGGAGAGCTTGCTCCAAAAATGTCTCGAATTTACAAGTTGCAGCTAGCTTCTTTAGTTGGACAGCATACTCAGAAATGCCCTCATTTTCCCTTTGGTTTCTTTTATTAAACAAAAACCTTTCATAAGTAATGCTTTTCTTAGGAGCATAGTGAGACTTCAAAACTTTAAGCAGATCAGAATAATCTTTATCTTTAGGTGCATCTGGGACCAAAAGGTTTTTTAATGTAGCATACATTTTAGGCCCCATAAGTGATATAAAATAGCCCTTTTTATCAGCATCCTTTACAGAATTTACAGTGAAGAAATTTTCTAATCGTTCAGAAAAATTTTCAAACGACTCAACGTCTGGGTCAAATTCAGACAACTTACCGATAATCGGTTTGCCAGCGGTAGCCATAGCCTACGATAATATTCACAATTTAGCATTTAAAACTGTACAGTTGAAAATCTTTACTGTAAAACACTTTCTTACTAGCATATTTCAACATTAGAAAAACTTTTCACAACTCTCCACATGTGCTTTTCCACTTCCTTTTCAAACATGAAAATCGACAAACTCAGACTTGAAAAGTGCAAACTATGACTCATAGGAATTTTCCCCGCTTCTCCTTCAAAACCCTTGTTCCATTTCAACTCCACTATCCCTTTTAGTTCACTAGTGAAGCGAACAATCGTCTGCAACTGGAACCAACTGGGATACTTATTACTGAAACAATACTAGCTACTCAGTTGTACGTTACCGCTCCTGCAACTGCTCCTAGATAACAGTTCTTCTCTCCAAACTAGAGCGTGTGTTATTGAAATAACTGCTACTTGAAAAGCCGTTATTTACTCGTAACCACCTGAAGCTCAACTACTCCTCTCCGGCACTTTATTTGTAACAGTTCTTGAACCCTGTTCCTTCTTCGACTTGGACGAACTTCTAATGAAATGAAACTTCCAAAATGGCGGAACCAAACTTGAGACAATTTAAATATATTGAAAAATCGCACTAAAAATATTAACAGGAGAAACTTCTTTACATTTTAACATTTACACACGAACTGAACAATTTAAAACCTCGTCGCCAGATTTGTTGTACATTAACTGAACTAATAAAATACTTATACGTTGGCCTACGGAAATTATACGGTATGATTATACGATGTGCACGTACCTGAAGTATAACGTAGACTGCGTTGTCGTCCTCATCGTCTTGTCTCCAGGGTTTGGACTTTGTACTGTGGACCTTTGATTTCTATGCTATTGTTCTTAATCATTGTAGTTGTCTACTTTACAACACAAATCAAAACAAACTAAAGGTAAATTTGAGATTTTATAGAACCCTTATCATTCTGTGCAAAAATTTATTATTAAATCACTTATGCTTTAATAATAAATTTAAGATCTTATGAATAATATGGTTTTAAAAACGTAACAAAAATATTTATTTTGAAAAAATCTGCTTGTATTTTGAAACATACGTCGATGTAGTATTATTCACGTCAAAAAGAATGAAAAAGAGCCTAAATGAAAACACCAATCAAAAATACTCTTATATATATCAGAGAGTGTTCTCTGTCCATTTACTCATTTTTGTTACGTAAAATGGGAGAATATTCTCGAGTCAGTGCCGTGTTATGATTTAATTACATTTGTTAGAACTGGTTAAATTTTGATGCAATGGATCATTTAAGTTTTCTTAATAAAATTGTCCCGATAACTTTTTTTTCACCACACTATGATGTTTTTGGCTGTATTACATACGTTAATTGGTGGCTGAAAGTTACGTTTTGCTGGCCATGCCAGCTGTCATCGTAATTTGGGGACCGAGCAGGTTTTTACAGGCCGGGGCCGCAAAATCAGCTGTCCGCCTACTTACTTAAAACATGAATGCATTTTAAATACACAATCAAAATCCATAGCATTGCAATAGAATTGTGTTATTGTCACTGTTGCCTAGCAACTATTTATTTTTATTTTTGCCGATTCCTCAAATTATTTCTTCACATAACCTTAAAGTTGTAGTTGTGTTGACTATCAGTGTGCATTATTATGGTGGTAAATATAGTGGTAATAGGGTATAGTGTGGCGAAAAATAGCGTTCGTACCACGGACCGAAATGGTTTTGCAGCTCTCGATCGATTTAAGTTCTCGACTTCGTCTCGAACTTATAAACTATCTCGAGCCGGCAAAACCTCATTTTCGGCCCTTGGTACGAAATATACTATTTCGTGTAATTCAATATACATCTTACTAGCCTGGCTGTAGAATCGTAAGTCCTGATATAATATTGCATACATACGCATCAGTCGACTAATGTTCCATATTTTTAGCGAGTTCTGATAAGCTATTACCATAGGTCTCATCGTGAGACCTGTTCCCGGGACCAATTTACTTTTAAATTTTAAGACACCTAGGTGCAAAAACACCATCCTTTCTATACATACATATTTGTATCTATATATGTGTCCATTAGCATGATAACTCGAGCAAAAATGATCTAATTTTAGTATTTATATTCAATATTTATTTCTATTTTATTCAAAACAATAGGCCTACACACATATCTCGTAACAGACTCCTTGAAATATGGCAATAACAAGCACGAGCCACTTTTATGATGGCTGTTTTACACTTTGCCATCAAATCTATATTTATATCGAACACCACAGAGGGGATGTCAACTCATCGGATACAGCCATTACCGGTTTTATAATCCACCCTTGTTCAGTGGTTGATATTCATGCCCGGATAGGTGATTTGAATATAAATGTCATTTTATAATCACGAATTTGAATATACGACAAGTTTTGATAGTATAATATTATTATTGCCAATATTATTATTATTATTAATAATAATATTAATATTAATATTACTACTGCCAAGTTAGTAGGCAAGGATGGCACTGTTTTCTTGGCGAGTCTCTCATCCTGGCATACAGATGTTGAAGATAATATCGTACAGTAAGTGCTGTTAAATATTAGTGTAAATGTTCCGTTAAAAATAGTCTAGGAAAGTGTAAGTATTGCATGTACAATGAAAATAAACTATATCGAGCCCTAAACCCCAGGTACTGATATATACACAAGGTAAATTAATGTAACTGCTGTCTCTAACTCTACTGTCTCCATAGTAGTCTCCATACCAGTAGGGTTGGTTCCGTAGTGTTGTAACAAACGTTATAAAAGCTATATACTATATTTTTGAAGTTTTATAAGTGATGTGGAACCAGGTGGGGTGGTCTAAAAGAGTTTCAATGCATATCGACCTCCTTTACACGAAATATATTTGCATGTATATTCTTAGAGTAGGTATGACAATTATTTTTTCCTGCATAATGCTGGAAACCTTTTTAAATATACACTTCTAAAAAATGGTTAGAGCATTTGATAACCGTCACAGAGATACACTGTGAGTGATGATGTTAGTTAATGCACTTTGCGTGTCAAACTGACGCGCTTTACTTCTCACTTCTCAAAGCTGCTCTGACTGGCTGAATCAACGACTAATTCCACCAATTTGTAATATAACTCAAATAATTTGAGTACCGTAAATAATGATCAAGCTGTAAAATATAGATACGTATCTTTATACTAGCCTGGATACACTCAACAGGTAATGTTATGCTACAACAGCGGAACTTTGATTATTTTGTTATTTGAAAACTACTGTGAATGAGGGATCTCTTAAAAAAGCTTTTGTTGATGTTTTTTACATTCAGTAAGCATCAAGTGTACTGGAAAATATAGAATATAAATATATGTGTACAATGTAATAATTGCGCAAGTTAAAAGGGACTAAACGACGTTCAACCTGGTTAAAACATGGAGCATCACACACTTCCAGGTTACCCACCAATCACCATGGTTGAAATGGTTAAAAGTGTAATATGCAATCATGGATACATTGTATACAGTTTTAATTCAGCTTGGTTAAAACATGGAGCATCACACACTTTCAGGTTACACACCAATCACCATGGTTAAAAGGGTTAAAAGTGTAAGATGAATCATGGATACATCGTATACAGTTTTAATTCAGCTTGGTTAAAACATGAGCATCACACACTTCCAGGTTACACACCAATCACCATGGTTAAAAGGGTTAAAAGTGTAATATGCAATCATGGATACATCATATACAGTTTTAATTCAACCTGGTTAAAACATGGAGCATCACACACTTCCAGGTTACACACCAATCACCATGGTTGAAAGGGCTAAA